CAAAAAAATGAAATAAATGCGAAATACGATGTAAACTGACATCTACCTTTCAACTCCAGGGCCTACATCGTGGTTCAGCTGGAAGATGCGAACACATTTAAACAAACAAAACTGACCGAAAAAGCCTAATGAGGCTCATTTCAAAGCGTGGACCTACTTCTTTCATGTGACAATAATCCGTCCAATGAGAGCTCAAAATGCAAAATTCTTTGGGAGTACAATCAGTAAAATACCAAATATAATGGGTGGAAAATATAAAGGGTGGTAGAGCAAATGGGACTTTTAGTAAGAAAAGGATTTCTATCCTTCCAGAAATTCTTCGCAAACATTCAAGATACCTTAAATCACTTTTGCAGGTAATGATATTGAACACAATTCACGGATAAGGGTACAACCCGATTTCATATTTATATAACCATCGTATGATTTAAGCTATTTTTGGGGTGTTGGCCACTTTTTTCATTTTTCGGGCCCTTATTTGGCATCTTTGTTTCAAAGGGGGTAGAGGACCTCCTCGCATAAAACTTGAAATTTTCGGAGTAGGGCCCATATTGGTCTTGACCGCATTCATTAATTGATTTGGCTAAAAAATTGTATTTATGCTACCCTGGGGTAGGGAACCATCATACAAATAATTTCCACATAGGAATTTATTTAAGTAAAGTCTCCACATTGGAGTATCCCCAAGTCCACTTTCACATCTAATGTGTGGTCAGAAAAGAAAATTTTGTATTCTATTGAATTTGTAACCCCCAAGAGAATATTGGTTGGGAAGGTAGATTTGGGATGTACAACTATATGAAATAAATTGTGAAGACATCAAAAATTACAAATATAAGAAAGTAGCACGGGATCGAATATTTGTTGAATCGTCATTGAGTTATACTATGATGAAAAGTATGGACTTATGGGGTCTCCAACTTACAATTTAAATGGCAAATAAAATTAATTCCCATCTTACGACAATAGGTGTAAAATAGTAATTATATTTGACTATTCTGAAATCATTCTGCCCTCGATTATGAGGTGGATAAAACTGTTTTTACTTATTTAAATCACGCGAATTTTTTTCGGTTTGATATGCTATGTTGATCTGCGATATTTTTGATTTGTCCTCTATTTGTCATCTTGGATTATAAGGGGTAGAAGAAACTTTTCAATGTAGGTCGATGTTTCGGAGAAGTGCCCATATAAAGGTACCTCATGATTTTACCATAATTCAAAGGATTTGGCTAAAAATGTGTATTTGGGGGGTGAAAATCAACATATCTACAAATTTTAGAATTTTCGCCACGTAATAGTAGCCCCTCAAGTCCACCTTTTGCGAACAAACAGACCGACATGGTTAGGGGGACTTATGAGGACTCTAATGCACAATCTTAAATCATTCAGCCCTCAATTATGAGGTGTACAAAAGACAGTAAATTCCAAATTACTGCTGATTTGACTGGAAAATTTGTTACGATTTTTACCATACGAAAAATTAAATTGATACCTTACATGGGGATAAGATTGATATATACTTTTTAATAGATTTGTACATCCACACATTTGAAGTCCTCGGTTTAAATATTGAAGCCCACGGCTTAAATATGGGTAAAGGTATTTTAAAACAATTCAATCGGCCAGTACGTGAACACTTATATCAGTCATATCTGTGAATAATTATGCTTTGACAAATATGCATAATAGACAAAAACTACGGGATATGGATATTTTTTTTTAAATATTCGTTCTACCCCGAGTTAGGATTTTATTCAAACAAAAAGTGACCACGCCCAATTTTGCGTCCATTTTTTCGATTTACCCAAAATCCTAATATTTGCCAAAATCTCGAAGATATATGTTCCACAGTTAGCATGTGACGTAATCTTGACTCTCACTCCAACCTTAGTTATCTGTTTGGGGTCGGAGGAACTGCCCACACCTACTTCTTTAAATCTGTATGTAAACAATTTTAAAAAGTATAGTAACACATTAGTTGAGAACGGCTGGGCCGATTTGACTCAAATTTTCTTTTGGTTATTTGTAATAACAGTGGAAACGTTTTCAAAGAAAATGTGAGAAAAGCCTCTATAAAAATCGCGGAACTGAAAAAAATGACTTTTCCATTTTGATATGGAGTTTTGTGTAGAATTGTTTCAAAATGCCTTCTGGGATTTAAAATTCTTATTAAAAAAACCGAAAAAATCGAGAAATTTTGCATATTTTCTATACATGACTAAAAAATACTTTTCAAAGCATCAAAACATTAAAATCTCAATGCAATTTTAAATTGAGGCTATGCCAAATGGGGAACCAATAGTAGCCAGTTATTTCCGGTATTGATTTCACAATACCGAAAACTTAAATGTCAAGTTACAGATACTTCGGTAGAAATTGTAACAAGAACGTGCAAAAGGATTAATTTTTAGTGGCATTATTATACCTAAACGAAACTGATATATTCCAACTTCCTAGGGATATTGTTATTTAGGGATATTGCCTTTATTGCGATTTCAACGAACGGCCGCATACACAGACAGATATAGTTTAATCGACTGGTAAAAACTAAATACCTTATAACATGATCTTCTAAAAGTTACGAATTCTAAAATTTGGATTTGGAAAATATTGCTAAGACTGATAATTGAGAATTGAAAATTTAATTAAATACGATGATATAACGAATATAAAGAGGTACTGGGGAATACAAAATAAATCATAAAGTGGACTTTTGTTGTAATTTTCTGACAAATGATTTATAACCTGAAAAATGCTTTTGAGCCCTTCAAAATACCTAAAATTTAGAGCACATTTGGTAGATGAATATTGGGAGAACAAATATATTCCTTTCGTAACATCAATAATCCTAAGAATAATATGTGCTAATTCTGAAAGACGCATATTACATTTCGTGACCTCTATCGTAATTGCCAATGGTAAATGAAGAGGCTCACGGACATAATTAAATCAACAAAGATTTCAACTTTTTAAATTCTTTATGAGGTCCCTAACTTTTATAAATAGATGAAACTTTATTTATGATAGTTAAAGTCATATTGCCAGGATTTCAATTTAGGAATTACTATCGATTCTGAAGTCCAAAACTGACTAGATATGGAAATCTAGTCAGTTTTTTTAGATATGGAAATAATCCATCCAATGAGAACTCAAAATGCAAAATTCATTGGGACTGCAATCAGTGAAATACCGAATATGAAGAGCACTGTTGTATGCGGACTATACAAAATAGTGGAGCAAATAGAAATTGATAGATAAAAATCTCCAAAAGGGGTTTGGGTCAACGTTTTTAGGGTCCATTTTATATAGCTTAACCAAACACAAAGGTTCTCAAATATTTTGCTCCATACTTCGCAAATGTTACGATAGAGTTTTAAATTTGATACAGTCCTAGGGGTTTCATGAAGAATCAGTTGTACAAAATATGTATCAGGTCGGTCTAAATTGATGTAGTCCCTCAAATGATGCAGCCCGTTTCAAATTCCTCAAGGTTGGTAATTTGAGATTTTATAATTATGAGAATAGGACCATGCTTTGGTGTAACCCAAAAGGTATCCGCTGATTTCGGCTATTTCCAGCGTCAATTGATTTTACCATTATTTGACATCTTAGCTTCTAAGGGGTGAAGACCTTTTCGCGGAAACTTTATATATATATATATATATACATATATATATATATATATATATATATATATATATATATATATATATATATATAACTTAATGTTTTTTCATGTTTTATTTTATCTTGTTTTATATTTCTTAAAAAATTCCTATTCGACTATATTTGAGACACGATAGTCGGTCAGAAGTTGCAATCCTTAATACCACGTTCATATTGTTATTTTATTCACGTTGATCGCTCTAAAAATTACGTACACGAATTAATACGTTAAAATCGCATGAATCGTAATTTATAGGCCGGTTTCCGGTCTTTCCGAAAGATAGAAACATGATGTTGTCGGACAAATAAATATTTTTTCATTATTACAAGTTTCATTTAACTACTGTACAATAAGCAAAATGGGAGACCATCCTCCCTTCATCTTTTAAGTTTATTGAATTCATGTTGCTATATTTTATATTGATAATATGACAATAGCAGCAAAATTTATTCAAGTAGAAAAATCGATAGTTTACGTTTTAAATTGTTTATTTTATATTGATTGACTGAATTAAAGATTTATTTCACGAAATTAATAACAAACTCGTTTTGTCTATTTTTTAACAATAATGAAGAAGTCACTGGAAAAAATGGAGTCACTTTACTATAAATTACATTTACATTTTATTGTTTTATTGAAAAATTATTTTATTTAAAAGTAATAACAAAACTGGACTAAGAGGAAAATATATAAGAACGCATAGTAGTATAATTTCCTTTGCTACTTGTTCTTTCTTGATTTTTAAGGCATTTGAACGCGCACTGACTTGAAGAGCAGAAACAATTGTTTTTTTCTTTTCAAAAAGTATTGTATCATTAATTTCACACTTTATATTATTATTTTTCTGAAAATGGTCACTTTTTAAACATATGTTTTTATTTTTCGTTTACAAATTCACTGGAGCGACAACTGTAAAATATATTTTTGTCGAAACATGAAGTCATAAAACTTTTTGCTTCCTGGTTGTAGATTATAGTCAAATACAAAACTAATTGCGCCATCACTCTGAAGTTCGACCTACGTATTCTGTGTTCTCAGTTTTAGTAACCAGGATAGGTATATATTATGAGAATTGATTTTGCTTATCTGTTGTATGTGTTAACGTATTTTGCAACCACCAAGTTTTATATCATAGGCCTAATAAATGTAAATTTGTTTTTTTTTTACAATTCATATAATATATTTTTGCCAAAAAGGTTCATTGCTATTGTATTTGTACTCATGCATGGGAAAATTTAATAGTTATATAAATTATTATTCACTTATATGATGCAATTTAAAGCGAAAAAGTTGCAATATTTACAAAAGTTACACAATAATTTATTTGTAGGTCAATTAGAGCTTTCCAGGAGATATTGTATATGAATTCTCACTATCCTTGTTCCAATGATATACATCTACGCCTTGGTTTTATGCATAAAATTCTTGGAAATTATAAGTCATCAATAAAACATTACACCCTTGCTCTCATCGATTCGTCACCATGTACATTTACAAAACAACTCAGTAAGTATTTTAAACATTTATTTGATACATTATAAATAATACTAAAATTTTTGACCAAATTTTCATAACACTCCTTTGTCTGAAAGATGGTCCTTTGTCATTCATGCCGACAGGGTTTATACCAGATTTTAAGCAAATATGGATTTGGGATGAAATTATATGATAATGTCAATCTAAACATTACTTGAAATTCATGATATTCTTTTTGTAATTTTTAATAATTGTCCTTGCGAGGGCGGTTCAGCTAATTATTTAATATTTTGTTATTTTTATCTTTCATGTTTTAATTTATTTCGACCTGGGTTTCAAATGCTAACGCTAATTGCACCACCAATTGCATATTTTTAATATAATCCCAAATATATTTTCTTTGAATGGCAAAACATTTGGATAAAAACATGTTAAAATCCCATGTCTACTAACTATGTAACAATATAAGCGTTGACATGTTTTTCAATAATTTTACTCTCTTCTCAAACAGTCATGAAATAACTATTAGTAGCTAAATAATTTTTTTTTTCAGTTTCATTCCATATTAGTTATTTAAACATTCAGCGACTAACAGCACTAAAAATACTTTAACGAATTTGGATGTTGACAATGGAAATGATGTTATGATAATATATTTGTTTGTTACTATTATGCTACAATTTTAAAATATTTTTTTTTTTGGTATTCAAGTTAAGGAATTGCAGTAAATGATTTATTTACAGTTCGTTTTCATGTCGCTCACCTTTATGAAGTTCAAAATAAGTATAAATCAGCAAAGGAGTTGTATGAACAATTGCTTAACGAAAAGGAGCTGACATTGGAACTCAAAGCTGCAGTATATAGACAATTAGGTAAGCATCGTATAGTGGTAACGTTTGAATCTTTTATAGTATTTAAATTACAGGATGGATGTATCACTGTCATGACTATTTTGGTGAAAGAAAGCAACGTGAATCGTATGCAATTCTCTGTTTGCAGAAATCAATAGAAGCCAACCCAAAATCCGGACAATCTTTATATTTGCTGGGTCGATGTTATGCCGGCATTAACAAGGTCCATGACGCATTCATTGCTTACAGAAATTCTGTAGAAAAAAGTGAAGGGAATGCAGACACATGGTGTTCAATAGGGTGAATATTTTTAAATTTATATACCACTTTCGACAAAAAAGTATTTCTATCTTAATGTTTATATTTATGTTCCATCATTTATATTTTTTACATCATAAGTAGCATTCATAATAAGTTTTACAATTTAAAATATTGTGGAGTCCATGTTCTGAAAACAAGGATCTATTTCCCTTCTTTAAATTGTTTACATCAACATTATATAATTATATGTGTACCTTCCCAAGTTCGTTAACTTCGTATTGTCAATGTTCCAACATTGCATGTTATTCAAAATAGCGAGATGTTGCACAACCTAGTGCTTTCGCATAAAACAAAAACGAAGCCGTCTTTTGTCTTAACAAGGCGATGTAAATTTCATTAACATATGATTCGTTGCACTTTTGGGCCTGGACTTCAACTCTGTAGAAGATCCTTATTTTGTTTAAATCATGCAACAATTGGTTCTGATTACTTAACAGTTTTTCACCAATTGTTTTGAATCGAAGTAAAACAACTACTTCGAAAATGTATCTTTTCCTTATAATTTAAAACAATACACACATATACAAACTTTGTTGTTGTTGTTTTTACAAATGTGCCACGCATACTTCTAGCTTAGTTAAGAAGTATTTACTGAACAGGGGAAGTGTTTTTTTCTACGTATAGTGAAAATATAAAATACCACAGTAAAGTCGGAAAAAAGACTGAGGAAAAATAAAAAAGTACAAGGATATGAGTAAGAAAGTCTACCAAAGTGAAAGAAGAGCAATGTAAGTTTTTCTCGATGTAACCCTTGTACTTAGCAGTGCTTATCGAATTCGAAGGTAATAGAAAACTAATCTCAACGTCTATTAACTTTTTGAAGATTTTAGTAGAAAGGATTAAAAACTAATAGACCTGTAGTCCTTTTGCAAGTGAATCACTTTTTCCCATCTTTGGTAATGTAAGTGACGTTGACTTCCATTTATAGTGCTGGAAAGTGCGATGATATATGCAAGCAAGCCTAAGATCTCCTCCAGAATTGGCACTGTCACCGTCGATGTGTGCTGCAACATGGCGGGAATAAAACCAAATGCACCAGATGATTTGAAAGGTTTGAAGTTGTTGATAGCCCACATGATTTTGATTTTCATCCTCAGCCGTACAGTGCCGATTACGTTGATTGCCGATCGTTTCTCAATTTGGAAAGTGAGTGCTGGCTAACAGATTGAGAGTCCATAGACCGTAGTCAGTCCACGTACTATCAAACCGCTTTATGCTTCCAATGGATTTAGGATCATTTGAAGCAAACCCATAATTTTCGTTTGGATTTTTTGATCTCACTGTTATTCTATTGAGGGGACAACCTTATATCCGTACAATGTTTGGTCTTGTTGATCCTGTTGTATAATCGTCTACTTACTTTCTAAGATTAGCTAAATGTTTGGACCACCAAACTGGTTTGAAATTTGTTGGTAACAGACAAATATTCAAAACACTTCTTCCTGTGTATATCAATAGGACAAGTAAAATTACATAGGGTCATCAACTGTCTCTGATTCCACATTTCCCAACTCTCACAAGAAACGCCTTCTCGCCAAAGTTGGCGAACACGCAGAATTTGACAAGCATTGGTCCCAGAAATGACCTCCAAACAATAGTTGACATAAGACATTAATATAGATCTGGCTACCATCATTCTAACACCAAGAGGCAAATGAGATTGAAGACTATAGAGCCTTCTATACTGAAAACGCGCACGAGACAGCAAAGTGTCAATATGACCTGAAAAATTAAGCTTGGTGTCAATGACTACACCTAAACATCTCATCTCACCCACAAGATTAACCACAAAGGAGCCAACACAGATGCACGGCATAGGAACATAACTAGGACTATTGAACAGAACAGCTTCAGTCTTAATCTAATTAACAGACAAACCATTAGAGTTATTAATGAACATAATAAAAAGCAGAGGACCAAGCACAGACCATTGTGGGACACCACACCGAAGAGCACAAACATCAGACTTATCATCTGACAAACTGACATCTTCCACCCAAATAGACGATATCAATCTACATGAAGAAAGAGGGAAACCAAAGTTGTATCTCAGCTTACAGAGCAGAAGCGTATGATCCACGGAATCAAAGACATTAGACAAGTCAAGGCCAACAAGCAAACCAACATCAGAATCATTGAGCACATCACGAATGAGATCAGCGAGGATTAAAAGATGAACCGCAGTGTTAGAACCACGCCGAAACCCAAACTGAGAACAGCTCAAACACTTATGGCCATCCAGAAACTCAACAATAGCATCTTTAATAACATGCTCAACTATATTCGACATAGCCGGCAAGAATTCCCCCTCTTCGGCACAGGCACTACACGAGCAACCTTCCACGCAAGCGGAATGTTTGGCATAATAAAAATACAATTTAAAAAATGCAAGGAAATAAACATTAATGGATCTTAATAGGTATGCCATCAACGCCTACAGCATTTGAATTAACATTCCGCAAAGCATGCAACAAATCTTCCAAATACACACAGTCAAATCTGAAGGAATCTAAACCATTGGCCCCACTAACCACAAAATCCCGAGACGAACTTAAATTACCAACACTACAAAAGTAATTGTTAACAGCATTGACATCAATAAATGGAACATCACAACCATCATCAATACAAACAACATACGACCAAACATTTCCTCATAAAATTTTCTTCTTTCATTACGCATGACAGCCTTACAGCAGTTTCTGTACGTACACAATATCTGCCTGTTGCGAACCGTAGGACGCCTACGCCTGATCTTTAACGTAACAGGCCGACCTTACCACATCCAACCCCAACTAAGCATCATATTTGGGCGAATACAACTGATGGCAGTACCGACAACGATTTTTGAAACAACAAATCAAACAAGCCAACTGCTGGTCAACATCACTCGTAAGATACAGAGGACTAAAATCAAAATTGCAACTATAATCTTCCACACCCCGTCAGTCAGTCCTATCAAAATCCAGCCAAGGCTTAAGAGGCAAGGAAAAATCAATCAACGAGGCAGTGCCACGGGCAACATCAAGGTGCGTTGGACTGGAATTGTGCACAATGGAAAACCCAAGAGATCTACTCATTAATAAAACGAAATGAGGCAACATCCCCACGAGGTAAGCAGACAACAGTAAAGAGCACCAGGCACACAAAGGACCACACGCACAACATTATTCTCCGAACGAAAAACCACCTTATATGACAAATTATCACGCACATATAAAAGTACACCTCCGCAGGGTAACAACAAGCAGCCATTTCTAGTCATCAACCTTACGATAATATCTAGACGGTCGCAAACTTTAGGTATTCAAATGACCATACGTAAGTTTACCATGGAAGCAAGAAGAGGCATGCCTCAAAAATTGAGCATCCCCAATCACAGGCCCGGGACGTAAAAATCAAGAAAAAGGCTGCATCAGTTCAAGAAGTTAGAAAAATTATAGAAAACAATAAAATAAGAATAAATATTGTATGATATTGTTACGAATATAACTTTAGATTTAAGTTAATTTAGATGAATTCCGTTAATTTAAGAATTTGAATTGTAACGTAAATTTCTACTACGCAGTTTATTTGAATAACTTCACAACAACAACTACTGTATAGATTTTTCTACATCCTTCCATTTCCTCTTTCATTTTCTATTTTGTTGCTGACGTACAATTCTTGTTAAACGTCATCATTGATGATCGCTTAATTCCTCTTTCTTTGTTACCCCCTCGCCTGTGTATGTGTTGTTGTTATTGTTCACTCAATGTAAGTTTGTATGTGTTCGTTGCATTGGTAGATTGTTCGTAATCTAGGCGTTACCAGATCGTCTAGAAACTTCTGTAGCGACAGGCGAGGCTCATATAAATAGGGGAAATGGAAAGGCAGTTAGTCAGTTGTGAATCAGATCGCGAATTGAAACTGTCGAGTAAAATAAAGTGCAAAGTAAAGTTGTGTGAATAAAATCATTGTAATAATCGTAATCCGAAAGAACCCGCGTTTTATTTGGTACGAGCTGTATTGGGAAATAAAACAACGTCTACACGGGATTAAGTAAAATCCAAGAACGTAACAATTGGTGTCGGAAGTGAGATTACGATAATACTACGATGAAGTTTAAGGATCTACGAGTGGAAGACTTGAAGAAGGAACTTAATAAATTGGAATTGTCCTCTACTGGCAACAAGGCTGAACTACAAAACGTCTGTTGGATGAGTTCGAGCGCCGTGGTATGAACATCGATACATATGAGTTTGACAGTAAGGATGAAGTGGATTTATCGGAAATGGGCGAATCTAACGGTGGGGAAGTCTCGTCAGTAGCTGCCAGGGGTGACGATTTCAGAGAAATGCTAGCCAAAATGTTTGAGGAAAATTTCAGAAGAGTCGAAGAAAATTCGAGAATAACGAACGAGAAACTCGAGTACATTACAAAAGTTATTGGAAGGAGAATGGAAACCGTGGAGGTCCAAATTAAAGAGTTGGATAAGAAAGTGCAGTCGGTTGACGAGAAATTTCTGTCCCACGACCATAGGGTTACAAATCTGGAGAAGAAAATTTCGGAACTGGAAATCAAAGGTGGTCCGGTGCGAGTTCCTGGTAACACACTAAAAATCAAACCTCCTGTATTCGACGGCTCTACGTCATTCAATGTTTTCAAGTTACAGTTCGAGACAGTGGCTTCTAGAAATTCGTGGAACGACAGCGACAAAGCGGTTGCACTACTTCTGGCATTGAAGGGCAGTGCTGCTGATGTTATACAGAGTATTCCTGTCGCTTCTAGAAACAATTATGAAGATGTTATTGCTGCACTGGAACGTAAGTACGGTGACGAACATAAACGAAACATCTACCTTATGGAATTAAGGGGAAGAGTACAGAGGGCAAACGAGACGTTACAAGACTTTGCAGCTGAGGTGGAACGTTTGGGGCTAATGACGTATCCAGGAGAGGATCACCCATTGCTGGACCGTATGAAAATCGAAACCTTTGTGAATGGCATACGTGACCCTGAAATTAAGTATGCAACATATGCGTCACCAAAAGCATCTTTTTCCGAAACTGTGTCGTTTGCCCTTGCCCAAGAGACGGCAAGAATAGTTGTTAAGCCCCAGACCCACAAGATTCGCCAACTGGAGACCGAAGGTTGCGAACCCAAATCTCTCGTTAACTCGATCGAAGACGCCATGAGGCGGGTAATAGAAGAGACAAAGTTAGTTGGGATGACTAAGCCCAGGGTTAGATGCTACAACTGCGATAAAGCAGGTCATATTGCGCGCGAATGCAGAGCTAAGCGCAAACGATCCAGGTCATCGTCACCACCTCCAACGAAAGATGGTAGAAGAATGGCCCAACAGTCCACCAATGAGTCACAGTTAAACTAAATCGAGCCAGTCCAGCGGGGCATGAACTGGCTCCCATCGACGATGGCCCCACAATCTCCATAGCAATAGTACAACAGAAAAGTCACAACCTAACAACAACTGGGTACATCAATGGTGATAAGCGAGTTCTGACGTTAGATACTGGCGCATCAAAGTCCATCGTAAGATCAGATCTGGTAAAGGGAAAAATAACGCAACTTAATGGAGTCAGACTGCGCACAGCAACGGGGGAGCCCGCGACAGTACACGGCAAGATTACCCTGAGACTAACTATTGCCAATAAATCGGAGAATTACGAGTTTATAGTTGCCGATATCGTAGACGAAGTGATAATAGGCGCAGATTTTATGATTGCCTTTGGTATCAATCTGGATATGAAAGAACGTGTGATGACCTGGTCTAACGTCGAAATTCCGTTAAACGTGGGCTACGATGAAAGTACACCCATTAGACGAAGCAATAATATGGGTACCAATGAATGGAGATTGTGGAGCCGAGAAGTTGTGGGTGGTGGAACCAGCAGAAAACAGAAACAGTAACATCCTAATAGCGAATGCCCTAGTGAAAAGCAACAAGGACGGATTAATTCCTGTTAGAGTTTTGAACCTGTCAAACAAGCAAGAGCAAATTTGCCAATTTTCCGATGTTGGACAATGCACACCAGCTGAAGCTGTAGTTAATTTGGAAACTAGCACCGAAAAGCCAGCTGCCATGGAGAAGAAGCACCTCGACGGCTACATAAAAGAGTGGACACACCAATTATCACCTTCCGAGAGGAACAAGGCTAAGCAGCTATTATGGAAATATGCCTCTACCTTTGCGTTGACAAAAGAGCACCAAGGAAGAACATCAGTGGTGAAGCATGAAATCAATACAGCAGACGCGAGACCCATTAAACAGCCTCCAAGAAGTGTTCCCCTGGCAAAAAGAGACGAGGTTCAGAAGCTGATAAGTGAAATGGAAAAGAGTGGTGTAATAGAACCATCGTCAAGTCCATGGTGCTCCCCAGTGGTCTTGGTCAAGAAGAAAGACGGAAGCACCCGATTTTGTGTGGACTACAGAAAGTTGAATGATGTCACCAAGAAAGACAGCTATCCGCTCCCAAGAATCGACGACACATTGGACACATTAGCCGTGACGTCATGGTTCTCCACCCTCGACCTGCAGAGTGGGTACTGGCAAGTAGAGATCGCCGAGAAAGATAAGGAGAAAACAGCGTTTGGCGTAAATGGGGGTCTCTGGCAGTTCAATGTCATGCCATTCGGACTCTGCAACGCCCCGGCTACATTTGAAAGGCTGATGGAGCGTGTGTTAAAAGGGCTGCAGTGGAAGTCGTGCCTCATATACCTGGATGACATCATAGTCATGGGACGCAACTTCGACGAACACATCAAGAACTTAAAGGATGTTCTACAGCAGCTTTCGTCTTCAGGCCTCAAGCTGAACCCAAAGAAGTGCAGTCTCTTCCAACGAGAGGTGAAGTTCCTGGGGCACCACGTGACGCCGGAGGGCATATCGACGGATAAGGAGTAAATTCAAGCCGTCAGAGATTGGCCGCAGCCCCGAAATCTCCATGTGCTGCGAAGCTTTCTGGGTCTCTGCACATACTACCGTCGATTTGTCCAAAATTTTGCCAACATCGCCGCCTGTCTACACCGTTTGACGCAAAAAGGCCAGAGGTTTCAGTGGGGCAACGAGCAGGAGGAGGCATTCAGAAAGCTCAAAGACATGCTATGCAGAGCCCCCATTTTGGCATACCCTATACCTGGCGGCAAGTTTGTCCTGGACACAGACGCAAGTGCGTGCGGCATCGGTGGCGTCCTTTCCCAGGAAATCGACGGACAGGAAAAAGTCATCGGGTACTACAGCCGGACATTGTCGAAACCTGAGAGGAATTACTGTGTGACGAGGAGAGAGCTGCTTGCTGTCCTTGAGTGCGTTAACACTTCCACAAATACCTATATGGCCAGCATTTCCTGCTGAGGACCGACCACGCTGCTCCCCAATGGTTGCTGCAGTTTAAGAATCCGGAAGGTCAACTAGCCCGTTGGATCGAGAGGCTCCAGAGTTATGACTTCAGAATCGAGCACAGAAAAGGCGGAAAACTCGGTAATGCTGATGCCCTGTCTCGTCGGCCATGCAAAGTAGAATGCAAGCACTGCTCAAAGGCTGAGAATAAAGAGAATATCGTTGATGTCCGACTATTGCAATTTGAGTCGGGTGAAGATTGGTCGACGGAACAACGAAGAGATCCCATTCTGGGCAAAGTAATTTCGGCCATAGAAACGGGCAAACGACCTAGTCGCAAAGAAATTACCTCCGAAAGCCCTCTTTTAAAATCCTATTGGGCCCAGTGGGACAGTCTACTTATAATAGATGGTTGCCTATATCGCAAATGGGAAAGTGAGGACGGTAAATCTCACCGGAACTTGATCGTCGTCCCAGACTCCAAAATAAGAGATGTCTTGTCGGAGTTTCACGATGGGCCAAGTGGAGGACATCTTGGCATAGCAAAAACCGCTGAAAAGGTAAAGCAGAGATTCTACTGGGTCGGCTGTCAAAAATCCATTGCCGACTGGATCGCCAATTGTGAAAGGTGCATAAGAGCTAAAGGTCCAACACGGAAGAGTCGAGGCTGCATGCAGCAGTATAATTCAGGAGCCCCTTTTGAAAGAATCGCAATGGATGTAGCTGGACCGTTCCCAACAAGCGACTCTGGGAACCTGTATGTCTTACTGGTCATGGATTACTTCAGTAAATGGCCAGAGGTTTATGCTATCCCAAATCAAGAAGCCAGGACAATTGTGGATGAAATTGGATTTGTCGCTATGGTGTTCCATCTGAGGTTCATTCCGATCAAGGGAGGAATTTTGAATCAGCGATCTTCAAGGAAATGTGTGACTCCTACGGAATCAAGAAAACCAGAACGACGCCCCTACATCCACAATCAGATGGCATGGTGGAAAGATTCAATCGCACCCTGGAAGAACATCTACGGAAAGTGGTGGACAGTGGCCAACGAGACTGGTTTTTACTGGCTTATAGATCGGCCATTCATGATTCCACATCCCGGACCCCAGCCAAAGTTCTGTTCAGAAATGAATTAAAGCTACCTGGCGATTTGATATTCGGTGCTACCCCAAACGACGATGTGAACCAAGATGAAGACAGTCAAAACTCTTTTAGTAAAGTCCACGATGCAGTCCGACATCGAATAAAAATGGTTAGCAACCGCATGAAGGCAAGGTACGATCGAGTGGCAAATACCGATGGGTTTCAAGAAGGGCAACTGGTACTATTGTTCAACCCACAACGAAAGAAAGGACTATGCCCCAAATTACAATCGCACTGGGAAGGACCCTACAAGATTGTCACGAAAATAAATGACGTCGTTTATCGCATCCAGAGGAGCGACAGTCCCAGGTCGAAGATGAAAGTTGTACATTTGGAGCGGCTGACCCCCTACGGAACGGGAACTGTGCCTATTCGGGACGAACAGGCTTAAGCGGGGGGCAATGTTACGAATATAACTTTAGATTTAAGTTAATTTAGATGAATTCCGTTAATTTAAGAATTTGAATTGTAACGTAAATTTCTACTACGCAGTTTATTTGAATAACTTCACAACAACAACTACTGTATAGATTTTTCTACATCCTTCCATTTCCTCTTTCATTTTCTATTTTGTTGCTGACGTACAATTCTTGTTAAACGTCATCATTGATGATCGCTTAATTCCTCTTTCTTTGTTACCCCCTCGCCTGTGTATGTGTTGTTGTTATTGTTCACTCAATGTAAGTTTGTATGTGTTCGTTGCATTGGTAGATTGTTCGTAATCTAGGCGTTACCAGATCGTCTAGAAACTTCTGTAGCGACAGGCGAGGCTCATATAAATAGGGGAAATGGAAAGGCAGTTAGTCAGTTGTGAATCAGATCGCGAATTGAAACCGTCGAGTAAAATAAAGTGCAAAGTAAAGTTGTGTGAATAAAATCATTGTAATAATCGTAATCCGAAAGAACCCGCGTTTTATTTGGTACGAGCTGTATTGGGAAATAAAACAACGTCTACACGGGATTAAGTAAAATCCAAGAACGTAACAATATGATAAAATAAATATATAATAAAGGAAAAACAAAGGCAATTCTTATTTATATCAATAAGTCACTTGCCCCAAGAAAAATAAAAAAGAAAAGGAGATCAACAAAAACTAGCATACATTTAACGTCTAAACAAACAACTATTAAACAGCATTACCATCACCAACCAGCAAACCAGGAACAGAATTGAACTGTACGTCTCTTATTGCACACCGAAATCGTGTGGCCAATTCATACAGCTCACATTGCTCAAAAATAATTTACATTTCATCAAGGAGAACCACTTTAACTAGAAGCTGTTCACCATTAACCAGCCTAAAACACGAAGTTGCTTAATCAGGTGATCATTTATGCACACGCGGGATTCGACAAGACAATCCTTCATTACTTCCTCCCGAAGTATACGCCCCCTTTTGCCAAAACTCCGCATCAAAGCATCTCAATCCTGAATGGAGTTAAATTTTACAAGAACCGCTCTACGATCAGAGATGTAGAAACAGTGATGCAAGACACGATGCCCCAGATGTAATCCATAAGCCTTAGCAATAATGACAACTTGTGCTCTAAGGTCCTTAACATTATTAGGTAGGCCTCTGATAATTAAATCTGAAGGGTTCGGTCTGGGTTGGATCATTGAATTAAACAATTCCAACTCACGAATTCTACCCAACAATATCTCATACGTACTTGTAGCAGTGCTCTTCACCTCACTAGCAGCTGACTTCAATTCATCCACTGATCTGAATATATTCAAATTGTTTTTCACCTCAGAAATTTGAAGACTATACAACTCAAATAGTGAATCAACTTTGGTTTTAATTCACGCATACACTGGTCCATATAGATATCCATCTGTTTCTTTATGGTAAAAAGCAAGTCATTTTGCCAACGGCGCACAGCATCAGAACTGCTAACCAGTGTTGCCAGTATTTTTCTGTCTCTCGCCCCCAAAATCAAAAACCGTTTTCCCCAAATCTCCTCAAATTTGATTCAATTTCCTCAAAAAAAAAAAAAAAAAAAATAAAATCCCCAAGCATTAAACAGAAAACGAACAGAATAAATTTATTTGAAAAAGTATTTGTACATAGAATTCAATTTATAGACTAGTTTATCTTGCATATTATACATGTAAAATAACATAAAAATAGGAAATAACAAATAAATAGAACATTTTAATTTCAAAGACTAGAGTTTTCAAGGTTGCAATGCAACCACGTCAAAAACATCAAATTCCAAATCGTCAGCATTTTCAGTCTCATTTGGTTTATATAAAGTCTTATAATTAAAAAGCTTTAACATGTCTTTGGTAGGCTCAAAATTTTTGCAGCATATGGAATTATTTGAAAATTGAGTATTTATTCTCAAAAGAGCTTCCAACGAATCATACTGCATTTCATTTCTAAGTTTGGTTTTCACTGACTTCATAACTGAAAAAAACTCGTTCTACACATACATTGCTGGTTGGCACCTGCTTTTCGAAGGTTATTATAATTCGTGTTTTCGACAATTTTTACAAATTTAAATAATTTTTCATTCAACATTTTCAATTCCAAAATTGGTTTGACAGTTCATTGTCTCAGCCGCTGCCTCGATACGTCTACCTATATTCTTCTACCATGGTTATAGGCAAACGCAGAGTATGGAAAGAGATAACTAGATAGCAAATCCATTTCTTATATCTGGTATAAATTATAACAACTTTGTCTGGTTATTGGGGAACGTATTTTATTGATGCGTTACGCATGTGTAACATAAATTTAAATATCAAAATAAGCAAGGTAATTAGAATTTTTATTGCAAAACAATCCTTATAAATTCCGCAATTTTTAAAAAGATCCCCACTAAATCCTTAAGTTCCCAACTTGAATTGTTCGTCCCCAATTTGAAAAATATCCCCTTTTTGGGGAAATTCCTCAATATTGGCAACACTGCTGCCAACAACAACATCATTAACTACAGAGGCACAAACAGCAGTGGACAAATTAGGCCCCGAATTAACAAGATTGCCACGATCAACAACCCCAGACACACCATCACCAACCGCAGAACGCACACAGGCACTATAAGTGTATCTAAGAGCCTTGTTAACTCTAGCCTCAGCTTCAGATACACCCACTCAATCCAAATAAAAAAAAAATCACACAACCAGTGCATCCCATATTGTATTTAGATTTTGGAAAATGCTGAGTGCAAACATTGCAGATTAATTGAGAGGACATTTTTAATATGTGTAACTATGCGCATCAACCGCATTCACACATGGAGTGGCTTGTGCGAAAATCATATTCGAGTTTCAATTGGGTCTTTATTAATCACTTTTAAAAATTCCTCGAATTTATCGGGTTGTTTAATGTAACTTCCCTCCCCTTTAGTTCAGAATTCAACTGAGCTCTATTATTTAATTTTAATATTGCTTAACTTTGATTTCCAAATACAAATTATTAAAATGACTGTAAATATGACTAAAATAATGCATCCATATATGATTCTATTATCAAGCTTTAAACTTGAAATATTTTGGAAGATACTTTTTCAAACGTTAACTTTTAACGAAAATTATGTACTTTGTAGGCTCATAATATTTTCTTCGACTTTTTCAATTACGTTAGAAAAAAAAAAAATAATCATTGATGTTTATTGAAAATTGTTAAATTGAATTAAATTATTTCTATTTAATATAGTTAAATTGTTGTTACATGAATTTTTACAAGTAAATTGATTGCAATTTTATAGTTTTTTTCATTTAGGGATAAAATTTCTAATTCTTTGCTAGTTAATTTACTTTTTTATTAAACAGTAATTACTTGCTTTCAACTGTTTAAAAACGTTGTTAATCTCAATTTTATTGTATTATTGCTAT